TAAAGAAATAAAAATAATAAAATGCAAAATATGTCTAAATGTATTATGCATGAAATGTTCAAGACATTGATATAAAAAACACGTTTGTTATTATAAATAATCCTTATTGGGACAAAAGTGTTATTTCTTAATAGACAAAAACCCACTAAAAGTATATTCTGACTAAGTCTTCTATACCCCAAACAGCTTTTAACAGATTGACTAATCTCCCGCCTTCATCTGTATATGGTTGAATACTCTGTCGAACAATTTCGGCTTCTCTGGTTAATGCAAGTGTTGAGTTGCTCGAATGAGTGCATTCCTAGCGGAAATATCATTGGAACCCTATATCAAAAAGAACTATTTGTTTGAATTCGTCAACAATGGTCTCTAATTTCAGCCATCGCTTTGTCATCTTGTTTTTGTTATCTTTTAAGGGACTTTCCGGGTCAGTAACCTTTTTCTCGTCTTGCCCCTGCAACCTTTGCCAACCCATTTTTGAAAAGTTAACTTTTGATGTGCTTGGTATAAATCATGGTCCATTATGAGTCCTTCACAATGCAACAAAGTGGTATACTCTTCAATTGTAGGCAACATGTCTTCTTGATTGAATGTGACACATAATTGCCTTGCAGACTGTCTCTTTTTTCTTTTCGATTCTTTTCTGACCATAGTCAGACCTCTGTGTTTTTCACCTCTTGTATTATAACACTTTTATCCATTAATGCAAATTATTTATGTTTAACAAACACGTTTTTTATGGATCAATACCTCTTTTGAATTATGTAAATAATAATAAAAATAAAGTAAAAGAAAACACAAATGAAAGGGGAGAAAAAAAGTTAGTGAGATAAATATAAAAAAACAAAATAATAATGAAAATAAAAAGTCTTATGCCGCATGCTTATTATTCCTACCTGGACATGATCTCTATCGTGCATATTAATTTTGAACAAGTCTTAACCGCATATATTTCTAGTTCTCACGCTTTGAGCAGAAAGTAAAGCATGAAATAACTCAAGACAACCTAGGTTTTGAAGTGAAGTTTTGGGGTAGGCTCTAACTCCTTGTATTCTCCCGGTTTAGGTTTTAAAGAAGGTACCCGAGTTCTCCTTACCGGTGCCCCATTGGGCTTGCCAGACCCTTAGTCCTAAGCCCATTACAAGCTTATGTGGACTAAATTAAAATCAAGAGTATACATTCCCTTATTCCTACACGGAGAATAAATTCACACGAAGCATAAGTTATATAAACCCCAAAGGTTACTTGCTAGGCCCGCACGAAGAATAAATTCTCAAGAAGGCGTCGCTTTCACCCCCACTTAAAAAAATTTGGAGCTCAGGTATAGAGCCAGAGATGAAAACTTTTTCAAAAATCTGAAATCATTGAAAAAACGTCAGTACAACTATTTACTTGAAAAATAATCAAAGATAAATAATTAAAATAGAATAGATAAGTTAAAATTAAAATTTATTAGTTTCACTTAAAAAGACAGCCGAAAATTAATTCTGGCCTAACTCACTTACATGTCTCCAGCGGAGTCGCCAAGCTGTCGCAATCGTCTTTCAGGTGGGCCTAGAATTGAGCTTCGACTTAAATAAAACACGTTAGAGTTGTCATCGATCATTTAGAAAATATTTAAGTTGATTAGACACCATCTTACTTGATCTGCGTTTTACCAGAAATATGTCAGATTCGGGAGTCGGTTACAGTCAAGGAAGAATTAGCACCCTTGAACTGCCATTTCGGTACCATTTAATTTGTCGGTTATCGTAATTGCAAAAATTTAAATTTAAATTGAAAAACTTGATTCAAATCACTTACATTTGATTGATTAAAAATTCCCTTAAGAAGTCAAAAATATTGTTAGATTGTACAATAAAAATAAATAAATAAATATTAAATAAATAGAAAAAATAGAAAAAGATTAAATAAATAAATAAATAAATAAAATCAGGTTAACAGAAAGAATAATAAAAAATAGAAAAAATGATGAAAATTTAAAATTTAAAGGAAATGAATAAATACATATAAATAATAAAACGAGTGGAAAAATGTTCACTTTTAAAAAGAAGAGAAAAAATATTAAATTTAATAAAATAATAACAGAATAAAAAAGAATAGGAATTAAATAAAATATTAAACTTAAAGGACTAAATTCGAATAAATTGAAATTCATGGATCAAATTGATGCTAAAAATGAGCTACAAGAGAAAAATAAAATGTTAGGGGACCAAATCGTAAAATATAATAAATAAAACAAATGATGAAATTAAACTAATTGAAAATACGAAGGCCAAATTGAAACAAGTGACCAAAATGAATTACACATCAAAACTTGGGGGACTGCGGAAATGATTTAACTATTTGCTAATTACAAAGAGATCCATCCCCTATAAATAGCCCAAAACCCAGAAAAAAAACATTTTATCCCCCATTCCAAAAAAAAATCCCAAACTCTCTCAACCTCTCCCCCAACTGGCCGAAAATCGACCACGGGCAGGTGATAAATCTACCGCCCACCGTCGCTCCGGCCGCAAAAAAACTACCCTTTACACCCCGAAGCCAAACTCGAGCCCCAAATCTCCAAAATAAACTCCAATAATCGTAGATCTAAACAGAATCACTCAGTTCTCACCTTTTTTCCGATGAATCCCTTCGACTTCCGGGGACTGCTTCTTTTCCGAGCCAAGACCGACTCTTTTTTATATATATTTTTTTGTGGGTTGTGCAATATTTGGCTTGGTATTTCGATTCTTTTGCTTTTGTTTTTTTGGTATTATGCTGCTTGGTTTCTCTGTCGATTTTCCTAGGTTACTATTCTATTTTTTCTCGGTGGTTCTATTGCGTTGTCGTTGTGCTGGTTCTGGTTGCCCCCCTGTCGCTTGGCCTCACCGGGGTATTTATAACCTTCTCGGTGGGGTTCGTTTTCGGTAAGCTCGGGGTTGTTTACCCCCGTTCCCAATTTGTTCGAGGTTGTTGCACATTTAACCGGCTAAAATAGGATAGGTCAACCCTGATTTAACTGGGACTCACTGCCTTGGTTGTTTTGTGACCAGTTTTCGATCGGATTTCTTGCCTGGTCGTCTAGCACATGGCCGCCACGCGCGCTGTACGACGCCTTTGAATTGAATGTGAAACCCTAAATATCTATTGGGTTTGATTCAAACCCATTTTCCTCCAAACTAAGCTTTATTGGATTTAATAGACCCCAAAAAAAGAAAAAGAAAAATGAATGAAAGAAAAATGAATGAAAGAAAAAGAAATAAAAATGTAAATGAAAATGAAAATATTATATATATAAAAATGTTTTCAAAACTATATATTGTATATATTTTTTAAAGATCGTTTTCAAAACTATATATTATATATTTTGAAAAATGTTTTCAAAAACTATATAATATATATTTTGGAAAACCGATTTTTAAAAAGTATTATATGCTTTCAAAAACCGTTTTCTAAAAACTGTATATTATATTTCAAAAATATTTTCAAAAATATTTTAAAAAATAAGCTCCGAACGAAAATGAGTGTCTACAAATATAAAAAGAATCGATCTTTTAAATAATTATATATAAAAAAACAACTGATGAAACATTAGAGCTCAAAAGCATACAAACACGGCGACACCTAGAAATGCAGTGAGAATATGACTATGATATCAAACACTAACATGGTTCAGGTACCAACATTTGATCGATCACAAAGGGTTTCAGCAGTCCCCCGACCAAATATATTACTCTCGCCACTTATATAACCATTCTTTTTCATGCATTTTGACATTGTAAACAGAGCTTCAAGTTCTATTGTTGCTTACTTTTTCTACTTGAGATCTACTGAAAACGACTAGCAAAACATGCTTGTTATAATCTTTTCGCTTGTTGCTTCTATTTCAGTTCAGCAAATACACTTTTTTCACAATAATCTGCAAGTCATCAAACAGGCACGTCTTATCAAGCCAGAGGAAGGGGTATCCGACACCGGCCACAGGTCGTAGCCCCAAGGATTGCAGATAACTCAAAACAAATCTACCCAAATGGTAATGACCCTATACTAATGGCAGCATAGATTTTTGTTTTTGTTGAACTCAACAGAAACAAGTATACCACTTCAAAGGCAAGTCTTAAGTGCCCCAAGTTCTCAACGATTCAAGAAAACGAAATGCACCAAGAAACAAATCCTAAATCAACTTAAGAATCTACACCTCATGGCATTGACAAACACTTTTCCTAACAATTCATCATCTCAATATATGCCTCTAATTTTCAGGATAGCCAACCAGACCTTGAAATGAAATATGAAAAGGCTGCCGATGTTGGTTACGCCTCAAAACGAGATAAGTAAGAGCAAAGGAAAGTCTAGAATATCAGTCAACCCTGATAGGTCACAAGATTGAAGGATAAGCTAAAAGAGGTTTCCAATCATTCACCAATGTTTTGCACAGTGTGATTTGGAATTTCTAAATGATAATCAAACTAATACCATTTGTCAAGCAGCATTATGTTTTTTTATTACTATTTCAACCATACCGGAACTGCCGACATCTGGAACATCATTAACATTCAGGGAGCAGCAAGAAGGTTCAGAGATGCCAAAAACAACAAAACAAGCTATTCAGTAATTGCAAGTTGCAAGCATTGAAATATTTCTTCCTAACAAAGCAATTGTGTCAACTGCATATTCGACTAAGATCATATTAGAATAATATGACACCTCAAAAGCGTTCGATAAAACTAGTTCCTACTTTGTTAACAATCATGCATATGCATCTTTGGTATGACGAAAAAATGATTGAGAACTAGGAACAAATATGCCAAAGTTAGCCACAGATAGATTTCATTCATTACAAATTAGGAACAAGATACTTCCTCCAAACATTACAATGTAAATAGTACCCAAAAATGATTACCCATTTTTTACCTGCAGAGCAAACCATTGCCACTAAACCAAAACCCTCCTTCAATCTGCCATAAGAAACAACAAAAATTGTTCAAATGTCTCAAATCAATCCCTTATCAACTTCATTTTTTAATCTTCTTCTTCTTCCGGGGTTCTGAAGAAGCATTATTTTCAATTCCCTCCTCCGTATCTCTACTCTTCCTCTTCTTCTTCGTCTTCTTCTCCCCTTCCCTTCCTTCTTCATACCTCATTTCACCCTTCTCAATGTTCACCCCATTTTCCTCTAAATTTTCAATCTTTTTACCACTTTTATCCTTCTGCTGCTTTACCTCACTCTGCTCAGTAGCAGTTTTGCTCTCATCTTCCCCAAACTTACCCTCGTTCTTCTCCTCCTTCCTCTTGCTCCCACCGTCTTCAATTCCAACTTTGCTCCCACCGTCCCGAGAATTAATTTCCCCGCCCTTATCTTTCTTCGTCTTATGCGTTTTTCTATTAGCGTCTCCGTCTCCATGCCCGCGACTTGCCTCTTGACTCAGCTCCACATCTTCACGGGTCGAGTTGAATACACTCGGTTCTAGGCTCGACTCCCGAGCACCGTCCACTGTGGTCTCAGACTTGGACTTCTTGTGCTTGCGATTCGATTTCGAGGGCTTTTGGAGCTCTCTATGCAACTGTTTGAGCTCGCTGAATGAGGCGGAGGCGCGTCGAAGGTATGCACTGATGGCTAGCGACGCGCCGTTGTCTGTAGCGGCGAAGTTATTAATGATTTTGGCTGCCTTGGAAACGGAAATCGGAGTTGAAGAGAGGATTTTGCCTGTTAGAGTCTTCATTAGGGTTGGGAATTTTCGGAGAACTCAAATCCTCAGGGTTTAACGATCAATCTATTTTATGTCTAGGGTTTTCGGGTTCGATGGTAAATATCTTTATTTATTTTACACGAAAAGGAAAAATAAAATTAAAGTATTCATATTATTTATTATTTTATATAAATATTTTGAGATAAAATATACAAATAATACTCCGAAAATAGACAAATTTCATTTCAAATATTCAATTAAAAAATTTATGATCCTTAAATTTTTAAAAAGTCAATTAATTATTATAAAAAATTATAAATAATATAAGAATTAATAAAATTAATATAATATCCCATATAATCTTTAACTTTTATTATTGTACAGTTTGGTAGAACTTACACGCATGATGGCGAGGTTATGATGGAATAATTTTAACATGGGCGTCACATCATGTGGTTTTCTTACATGACTTTCATTAAGATATGCATTATTACTCATTTTAGTCCATGTTCTCAATTAGGATATATAACTTGACATTTTTTTAATTATAAATTCAGTGAATTAAAATTAGAAAGTATTTGAAATGGTTTCTATGTAGATTTATCTATGTAGTGTGTACTTCATGTGTGGAATGGTTACTAGGTCATTGGAGGTCACTTAGATGGTTTTAAAAGCATTTAAAGTTTTAAAAAATTAATTAATTTTAGTCATCCAGATTGTATGGTTGTGAGGTCCTAACATCAAAATCTATTTTTTTTTTAAATTTTGAATCACATGTTAGTATCAATACCTCACGGGTGATATTGATTCTTATGATTTTCATTTGTTTTTATTGAACTTTGATGTCTGAATTGTTATTGATATCCCTCAATTAGTATCAAAATCTAAAATTTTAAAGTATTTTTTTAATTTTAAATCTCATTTAGATATCAATATCAAAGGTTAGGTATTGGTATCACTATGCCTTGAATCACAATTTTAGCTTCTTTTCCACTAAAGTTTCTATGTTTAAGTCGAGCATGCAACTCCTTGTTAATGTTTGGATTAGTTTTGATGAATGCATATCATTTATGGTTTATCAATGTATGAGTGTGATTTATGAGTTGAATGTTTCAGTTTGTGAAATTATGTGATCGTCCAATCATTTGGCTCAGGTATAGTATCCTACATTTTTAATTTGAAGTGGTTTCAAATAGAGACGGAGTTAGAATCAAATATTTAGCGTGTCCAGGAATAATTCTTCAATTATGTCTTGCTCTTGTGATGCATATTTACTTTCATTTCCTACTTTTTAACATCTTCCTGATTGTTACAAATGTCATCTACAGTCTTCGCATTGTGCTACAAGAAATAATGAGTAACCATATCAATGAAATGTTGTTAGCATCAGAAATTGAAGTTATAAGATCATACATAATCAATGAGATGGAAGATAATGAGTAACTAACTAGTGCTTCTAGTTCTTGTCATCGCATTTACTGTTGATAATCTAATTTTCTCCGTTGATGAGAGAGATGACAACATTGAAGGAGTTAATGAGTGCAACATAATGGGTATATCCATTCAGTTATAAATTTATATAATTAAAGATTTGTTCCAATAAAATTATTGTTGTACGTCTCCGGTAACATTAATAAAACCCTTTCTTTTGAAATCGAATAATTATTTATAATCACATCATGTCATGAGTCAAACTATGGTGTTGATACCACTCGTTCATAATTTACGTGACTAGAGTCTGTTTAACTTCGCTGATGAAAGAAACAATAATCCACTATAAACGTACGTAGAGATCACACATAGTACAAATATTTAGAATTTCATGTATTCACTACGCTTTGTACCCAACTGAAGGAAAACAAAAAAAGGAAATGGAGACGATAGGTTGACAAATTATAAGAAAAAATCAGTTTGTGTATACACTACACGTTTGACTAGTTTCAGGGTGGATAACTGCAGACAGTTATCTGCAACTGTGAACTATCCTCCACATCGGTGCATTGTCTTATGAAAGCTCTTCTCCACCAAACTTCAAATGCTCTCTGGATATTGGGACAGTCATCCCCTTTATTCAGAAACCGATCGAACCAGTTCATCAAAATAACCTGTTGTTGCCGCAAAGACAGAGTAAGAATCGTCTGACTCAGCCCATCTTCCACTAGTTTCTTGTCTACTGATTTATAAGCCCTTCTCATCCACCCGAAATCTTCATAAAGTGCGTCCAGCCATGTCGACAGCAGCGATAACCGGTTTTCTTTCGGAACCAAGATGCTTCCCCTACCTATTGCAATACAGAGTTGAGCAGTGATTCTACTGATTTCATGCCGGTACATAGTAGGGATCTTCGAATGAAGCTCTGCAAGTTCCCTCTGATCTGCCCACAGTTTCACAAAGTCATTTGCCATTCTCTTTTCGATTAGAATATCGACAATCCACTGCAAATTGTCAGCTTCTCGAGCTATTTCAGCCATTAAAACTCCTCGGTCTCGCTTACTACCGTCAGTTCCTATAGCTTCAGATAAGCATAGAACAAGAGAGCTAAGACATTTGTGACACAATTGATAAAGGGTGTCTTTTGAAACATCGAACCGACTGTCCTCATCCAACGAATCTTCTCTAAGTAACCGTGAAATAAGAGTTTGCATTTCTCGACGCGCTTTATCATCCTTGGCTTGAAGAATACCGCCAAGAAGGTTCAAAAGGATGCCATCCGATCTCGCGGAAGTAGATGGTTCAGACGATACTCTCTGAAGAACTTCAGGAATCGAGCCATGAAGCTCGAGTTGGCTGAGATGGTATACAACCTTTTCCTCTTCATCCTCGGACCAAGGGACAGCTTCCAAATATTCCAAACAAGAAGTAATCCCTGCATCAAACATAATGGCCGCAGATACCTACAACAACAAACATTAATATTACAAATGCCCTGATTTCTGCTGAAATAAGAAAAAATGCAAAAAAAAAAAAAAACAATGCATACGTATAGATATATATACCGCCGCATAAATAGCTAAATTGTGGTCAGGCACATGAGATATATAAATTACAGAGCTTTGCTTCAAATGGAAGGAAAAGATTGGCCAAAAAACAGACATCCATTTCAAACCAGTCTATAATAAAATCAAAATTAATAGTAAACAATGATTTACAGTTCTTCAAACCAGTCTAATTAAAGAAAACCCAGAATTTCTAATTAGCTATACATTGCATGAACTGTAAAAAAACTTGCAGTGAAAGCAAAATTTCATTAGAATTTATCATACCTGAAGCAAAGCCAAGACATTGGTGACATTTTCACCGATCAATCTCTTCTTCAGATCATCACAATACATCAAAACAACAGTTTCCACATAAACCTCGATATCATCACATTCACTGATTTCCACTGTATGAGCGATTCCTTTCTCTCTCCTTTGACTCAAGTTCTCGGCAAAGAACCTACTTTTCTCAGACAAAACTATCCTGTGCACATCCATGGACACTCTATTGCCATCTCTAGAGACTACCGTGAGCCTTACATCACTCGGTCCCAGCCCGCCGTTTTTGAAGCTATATGCGTTGAGTTCAGAAATGAATTTGGCAACTCGGCGTTGGGTCCTTCTGCGAGATTCTTCCATGGTTTTGGACCCACGGAGGTTTTCCTCAGACATCATCTCGAAGAGGGTGGGGTTGTTGAGACTCGGTCGAGTTGGCTCAGCTGGAGGAGGTGGAGGAGAAGAGGAAGGGGAATAGAGCCTTGGGGGAGTTGTTCTAGATGGAGAGAAAGATAAAGAGAGTGTCGGGTCTGAAATAAACCCTTGTTTTATCATTGCTGATACTTCTTTTGAAGCCATTGAAAGAAGAAGAAAAAATAAAGCTTTTTTCCTCAATAAATGAAGTTAATAAACTTGGTTTATCTTGGATTCAAGGGAGAAGAAAAAAAGGGGGAAACTATCTTGATTCCATTAATTATTTTAAAAAAAACAAAAGAAGAAGCTCTTTGAAAAGGGTATCAAAGAACAAAAACTAGGTTTTCTCGGAAGATGGTTGATTTATTTCCAAGAAGGCAACCCTGGGAAGGAAGGGGGGATTTTCTTGCAGAGTTGAGCAATTTTCCCCCCGGGAAAGTAGAGAGAGCAGCTGAATTTTCTTGGGAAAAGAGAGAGAGAGAAAGAATCCAAAAATTGGCAAGGCTTTGGATCTGAGATTTCATCGGCGCTTTGTAAAAGCAAAGCAAATGGCAAAAGAGGTGTTGTAAATGTAATTAAGGGGAAATGCTTAAGTTAATTATGGTTTTATTTCCTTTGCATAAAACATTAGGGTGTACAAAAAACGGTTTTCTGTGTGTTTAAGGAAGACGGAGGGAGAGATTAGAACTGACTTCACCTGCACGTGTGAGCACGTGACTTCTGTGATTGATTACAGGACCCACTGGCCTTAACAAAATGTTAACCTAAAAATTGTGCAACACCACAGGTTCCTTTTATGAAACTTCACCGCACGGATGAGCTTAATTGGTTCCTTCTATCATTGTCGGGATGTTTTATAATGTAATACCTTAATATAATGTTAAAATAAAGTGTTGTTGATTTTGTTTTTATTTAAATAATAAAATTAAAAAAATATTTAAAATAATTTTTTATTTAAAATATTAATTTTTTAATATTTCCGGTAAAAATACTCAATAATAATAAAATCAATAGAAAAAATAAAAAAATCAATAGCATTTTATTAAATTTGATAAAACGTCCAATAATAATAAAATCAATAAAAATAATAATATTTTCAATTATTTTACCGATTTTATTATTTAAACAATAATAAAATCAATAACATATTTTTTTAACCGTAAATTAAAGTTGTTCGCACATTTCCAATCATTGTCTTCATCCATGTTTTTGTTATTCAAGTCTCACTTCCTGAGGACCAAACATTTTTTCAACACATTTCAAGTTTTCGATAGAATCTTACACATCTATGTCCGTACAAGTTTATAGGATTTTTTACTCAAATATATCTAAAGATATTACTAAAATAATACTTAATTTTTTTAT